ATATAATAATAATAATAATAATAATAATAATAATAATAATAATAATAATAATAATACTAGTAGTAGTAGCATGTTAATAAAAATAGGAGTATTTGCCAGGTTTATTTACGTCTACAAATGGTGTTGAATGAAATTTGTCAACACCGTCTACTTATTTTGACGCCCCTCTATCTCTCTCTCTCTCACACACACACACACACAAAATTAATGCATATGCAATAGTTGATTTATTTATATTCAAAAGTGTATATGCAATATTATATTTATAAGATCGTTTCACATGAATTATGTATATGAATTGAATGATGAAATATTGCCTCGTGTCATAAAAATAAAACAACTAAGGGTAGGTGTAGCGTGCAAATTTTGTTATTTTTATTTATTTAATCCTTTTCTTCTATTTTTTTATTGTAATTTTGCAGTTTTGGGTTTAAAAAGCTTTCACCTACTTTAAAATTATTTAGATTAATTAAAATGCTTTTAGATATACAATTTGAAGATCTTAATTGTGATGAAATAATGGAACAACGTGGTTTGGCCCTGCTGCTAAGTCAGACTATAGTATTATGAAAAATTAAACATTTGTAATTGTAATAAAAAAATATTGTATCATTTTTCCATTATATTTAGGATATATGATTGTAATAACAAATTATTTCAGAATAATGAGTTGGTGGGTGTTTTTATTTTACTTATAAAAATAAATAAAATATATATATGTGATGATGAAAATTGAAACTAGTCATGTAGGAAAGGAAAATTACAATAGAAAGTTCTAGTAACAGTCAATATTTTCTAGAAACAGAGCTTTATAATTAGTGGTGCACCCCACGTGGAAAATGGCTATTTAAAAAAAAAATCCACGTGTCGTTCGCGCTTTTTTTTTTTTTTTTTTTTATTCAGTGGGAATTTCACTCAAAGAATGACAATTGTAGTCTTCTCATTGATTTCCCAGTGCAACTTACATGAGCACAATCGAAGTTTTATATTAGGGGTGCTCATTCGGTAATAACCGTATCGGAATTTCGGTGAACCGAAATTTTGGTACCTCGAATATTTGTACAATTTACAATACACAACTACTTGGTTTAATTTCTTACCGTTTTTTAACCGAATTAATTCGGTTTTTCCGGTTCGGTAACTGTAAAATCAAAAAACTATTTTAAGATTTCAAAAATGTAAAAAAAAATATTTCAACTAATTGGTTCTTGAATTTGAAAGTCAAACTTTACTGATCGAATTTTCAATTCGGTATTTGGCACGTACCGAATATTCGATTCGGTCAGTTTTACCGACAAAGTGTTATATATTTATAGTTGAAATATCGAATACTCTGGAAATAACAAATATGTGAAGTAAATAAATAAATAAACAAATACTAAAAACATTGTGAGGAGCTAAATTGTGCCAACAGGAATTTTAAGAGTAAAGTTCACAGTATATTCTCCGAAAAGTGAGGAATATGTATTGCATATATATTTTGAGTAAAGAATAAAATTAAATTTTTGGAGAAGAGTAAAGCCAAAATCTGGCTTCTTCATATATGCTTCCAATTTTGACCTAAAAATGAAATTGAACGATTTATATGCTACGTAGTACGGACACAGAAACGGTGATGCAGGGAAATGGGAAAACGAACATGGAAAACGACGTATATAGAATGGGGACGAGAGCTTGAAGGAAACGTGTAAATGATGTGCCATATAAATATATAATTTTTTTATATACGTTTATTCTTTTTATATATATTTTTTCATGCAAAAAAATTTAGAATAAATTTTTGTTATTCAAACATGTTTCTAACTTTTTAAAAATTACATAATGACCGATAAAGTGTTCGACATATGTCCTCGACATCTTATAAACTCTTTTAACAGCTTATAAACTTAGTCAAACACGCCCTAAATTATACCAGCCAAAAATAAAAATTTAAAGAAAGTAATTGCACTAAAAACTATGGGCAACCGTCACACAATTGTTTTATATGTTTGGCCTCATAAAACATGGCACCAATTTATTAATTTATTTACTTCCTAGAATAATACTATATTAGGGAAAAAATGAAAAAAAATTAATCCCTTACATTAATAAGTCATCCTAGATTGACCTATTCCACCAAATAGGTGAGATATGTAATACACCCAACTACTCAAATGAGTTTTGTGAGTTCAAATAATTATATTTTGAAAATAATATATTTTAATTAATTTACGGTATTTTATTAAAATCAACAAAATTTTATTTCTTTTATGCTATTTTTATTTTATTTTTAATATAGAAAATATGTTATAGGGAGAAATGTGATTCAAATGATGTATTGATGATGCCACTAACTGTCAGATTAAGCTCTTGGTTTAGAGAATATTCCCCACTAATTAATCAATTGTTAACAGCCAATTAAAATGTCTATGTTGTGAAAATGAAATCGCCCCTACATGATTAATGGTAATTATGAATAAATGCATCTCACCAAACACAGTACTTGGGGGAAAAAAATGATAAATTTGATGTGTGGTTAAGATTTCAGCTTAATTAATTATTTAGGTTATTAATTAATACGCCTTAATTACTAATTAAAAAAAAGGGGTCTTAAGATATAAGTCCCTGGTGACAAACCTTATTAGAACTAAATGACAAGTCTAACTAAAATTTGCTTCACATCCTTTATTAAATTCATTCCAAAAATGCCCCTTCACTCACAAATTCGAAATTACACCAAATTGTAAATATACTATGATGAACTATGATATTATTTAACATTTTTAAGTGTGCATCTAGCATTTTTTTAATTTTTATGTGGACATTTTTTTTTTCCGTATTTATCATTATATAAAAATCTATTTTTTCCCCTTGCTATTATACATAAAGTGAAATTATAACTTTTTTTATTTTTTCGTCGTACGACATCTTCAGAACCCATAGGAACCGTAGTAATCCGTAGTCACCCATAGACATCTTGAACACTTACTCATCCTACAAACCCTAGCCGTCAGACCCATAGACATCCAAATCGTCATTCTTTAATTTTACCCACCAAC